CGGGGGTCGGGGCTCCCCCTTTTAACCCTGGGGGGGATGGGGATGGGGAGGGGATGGGGAGGGGATGGGGAGGGGACAGGTCCCTCAGGCTGGCACAGCAGGGTGAGGTGTCCAGCAGGAATTCCTTCATGGGAAAGGTCAGTGGGATGTTCAGCAGGATTTTCTTCAGCAGGAATTCCTTGATGGGAAGGGTTGGTGGGGCTCAAACAGGAATTCCTTCATGAGAAGGGTTGGTGGGATATTGAGCAGGAATTTCTTTGTGGGAAAGGTTGGTGGGGCTCAAACAGGAATTCCTTCATGTGAAGGGTTGGTGGGATGTTCAGCAGGAATCCCTTCATGGGAAGAGATGGTGGAGCTCCAGCAGGAATTCTTTCAGCAGAAATTCCTTCATGGGAAGGGTTGGTGGAGCTCAAACAGGAATTCCTTCATGGGAAGGGTTGGTGGGATGTTCAGCAGGGATTCCTTGATGGGAAGGGTTGGTGAGATGCTCAGCAGGAATTCCTTCAGCAGGAATTCCTTGATGGGAGGAATTGGTGGGATGTTCATCAGGATTTCCTTCATGGGGAGGGTTGGTTGGGCTCCAGCAGGAATTCCTTGATGGGAAGGGTTGGTGGGATATTGAGCAGGAATTCCTTCATGGGAAGAGATGGTGGGGCTCCAGCAGGAATTCTTTCAGCAGCAATTCCTTGATGGGAAGAGTTGGTGGGATGTTCAGCAGGAATTCCTTCAGCAGAAATTCTTTTGTGGGAAGGGTTGGAAGGGGCTCAAACAGGAATTCCTTGATGGGGAGGGTTGGTGGGGCTCAAACAGGAATTCCTTGATGTGAAAGGTTGGTGGGATATTCAGCAGGATTTCCTTCAACAAGAATTCCTTGATGGGAAGGGTTGGTGGGATATTGAGCAGGAATTTCTTGATGGGAAGGGTTGGTGGGATGTTCAACAGGAATCCCTTCATGGGAAGAGATGGTAGGGCTCCAGCAGGAATTCTTTCAGCAGAAATTCCTTGATGGGAAGGGTTGGAAGGGGCTCGAACAGGAATTCCTTGATGGGAAAGGTTGGTGGGATGTTCAGCAGGAATTCCTTCAGCAGAAATTCCTTCGTGGGAAGAGTTGGAAGGGGCTCAAACAGGAATTCCTTGATGGGAAAGGTTGGTGGGATGTTCAACAGGAATCCCTTCATGGGAAGAGATGGTGGGGCTCCAGTAGGAATTCCTTCAGCAGAAATTCCTTGATGGGAAGGGTTGGTGGGATATTGAGCAGGAATTTCTTTGTGGGAAGGGTTAGTGGGGCNATCCTGAGCACATTCCTGATGCCCCCAGTGTGAGAGGGACATGAGGARGGCAGGAATCACTCAGGGGACTGGAGCAGCTTGGGAGAGCTGGGAATGTTCAGCTCAGAGAGGGGAAGGTTCTGTGGAGACCTCACAGCACCTTCCCGGGGCTGAAGGGGTGACAGGAGACCTGGAGAGGGACAATTCATCAGAAACTGCAGTGACAGGACAAAGGGGAATGGGTTCAGACTGAAAGAGAGCAGGGTTGGATGGGATATTGGGAAGGAATTGTTCCCTGTGAGGGTGCCAGGTTGGACAGGATTTGAAGCACCCTGGGACAGTGGAAGGTGTCCCTGCCCATGGAATGAGATGATTTTTAATGTCCCTTCCCACCCAAAACATTCCATGATCCCGTGATTTCCTCCCAGTGCTGGAAGGGTGACCCTGGGGTGGCACAGCACTGCCCTCCCGCTCCTCATCCCCCCATGCCATTGGTGGCCTTGGTGGCCGATGGCCCTGATGGCCGATGGCCCTGATGGCTGATGGCCCTGATGACCAATGGCTCTGATGACCGATGGCCCTGGTGGCCAATGGCCCTGATGACCAATGGCCCTGGTGGCCAATGGCCCTGATGACCAATGACCCTGATGACCAATGGCCCTGGTGCCCAATGGCCCTGATGGCCAATGGCCCTGGTGCCCAATGGCCCTGATGACCAATGGCCCTGGTGCCCAATGGCCCTGATGGCCGATGGCCCTGGTGGCCAATGGCCCTGATGACCAATGGCCCTGATGACTGATGGCCCTCATGGCCAATGACCCTGATGACCGATGGCCCTGGTGCCCAATGGCCCTGATGACCAATGGCCCTGATGACCAATAACCCTGATGACCAATGGCCCTGATGACCAATGGCCCTGGTGCCCAAAGGCCCTGATGGCCAATGGCCCTGATGACTGATGGCCCTGATGACTGATGGCCCTGGTGCCCAAAGGCCCTGATGGCCAATGGCCCTGGTGCCCAATGGCCCTGATGACTGATGGCCCTGATGACTGATGGCCTTGGTGCCCCATGGCCCTGGTGACCAATGGCCCTGATGACCAATGGCCCTGATGACTGATGGCCCTGATGACCAATGGCCCTGGTGCCCAATGGCCCTGATGACCAATGGCCCTGATGACCGATGGCTCTGATGACCGATGGCCCTGATGACCAATAACCCTGATGACCAATGGCCCTGGTGCCCAATGTCCCTGATGGCCAATGGCCCTGTGACCAATGGCCCTGCTCTGCTCCCACAGGTCCAAGGGAACGGGCAGCAGAGCGTGGAGAAGGCCCTGAAGCTCTT